ACTTCTGTCGCTCCATAGCCCACCCGACCCTTCTGTGGCACCACCGCTTGGGTCACCCTTCACTCCTGCATCTTCGGCACATGTTCCAGCATGGTCTACTCACTTGTCTCCTTCCGCCAATTCCTGCCCTGCGTACGTCAGTAGCGCCACTGTGCACGTCCTTCGTCGAGGGCCGGTAGCGCGCCGCCCCTCACTCCTCCTCGTTTCCCCCCACCATAGCACCACTACAGATGCTGCACATGGACGTCTGGGGCCCTGCTCCGGTCCCTAGTCTTAGTCGGGAGCGCTACTTTCTAGTCGTCGTTGACGACTCTTCGCGCTTCACCACAGTGTTCCCATTGGAGCGGAAGGCCGACGTGCCTACCGTTCTCCTCCTGTGGCTTCTTACTGTTTGCACCCACCACTGCTTGCCTGTAGGTCGCTTACACTCTGACCGTAGTGACAAATTCGCCTCTAGCACTCTAGGACAGTTCTGTCGTGCGGAGAGCATCCGCCAGGCGTACACACTACCGGACTCTCCACAGGAGAATGGGGTTGCTGAGCGACGCATCGGCCTGATGATGGTGGTAGCTTGCACCTCCATGGTCCACGCCGGTGCACCCCATTTTTTGTGGTATTTCGTCGTGCGCTACGCTGCTCACCAGCTTAATGTCACATGATCGAATGTGTCTAGGAAAGGTTCCACTATTGATCAGAACAAGGCACTTTTAAACTTCCAAAGTACATCAGGTAACCAGGTCTATCCTATCCCAGGGGAATAGACCCTTCTAGAAAATAGAATCACCCTGCGTATAGCCACGTGAGGCTATTGGCTTTAAGGGATTACGGCAGGATTACGCTAGATATAGCGCGCCAGTACATCCCGAGCCTGGTTGGTGATATAATGATAATAGCAGGATAAACCAAAGGTTTATGGAAAAGGAGGAATAGGAATCCAAATGGAATGAGATAAAGACCAAATGAATCAAGATAAAAAGAGGAATGAAATGGAAAGGGAAGATGGAAAGGATAAAGGAATGGAACGAGGTCGTACTCTCACACTTAACTTGTGGCCGCACTCCCAGCGGCCACAGGTTTCACCGACTCTCCTTTGGACCAGGTCTCCTGGTGACACGTCTGCGTTCTACGTCTGGTGAAGGCTTGCTCACGTCCGCGACACTCGTGCAGACAAGCTCTCAGCTCGCACCCTTCCTTGTGTCTTCCTGGGGTTTCCGCTTGACACCTCTGACTGGGTGTTCTACCACCCGTCACACCACAGCTTTTACCACTCTCGTGACATTGCCTTTGACAAAGACGCTCCCCTACTACCAACGCTTCCCATACCGCAGCACTTTTGTGCCTCCTCCTCCTCTCTTCCTTGTACCTGCCCCGTTTGCCGCACCCCTCCCGCTCCGCCCGACCCAGTCTGGTGTCTCCCACGCCACTCAGTTCCCCTCGGTTGTGCCTGTGGGGGAGTCGGCTAACTATGGGGGCCCAGCTGCCGGGGGCACGCCTGCTGTCCCTGTGACACCTCCCCCGGCCTCGGCACCTCAGGCACCTCAGCCTCCTCCTCCCTTGCCTCAACAGCAGCAGCCGTTGCCGCAGCAGACTCAGTGGCAGCAACAGCAGCAGGAGGGAGCAGTGGGCTTTGGGGGTGCCAGTTCTGGGGGTGCTGGTGTTGGTGGAGCTGGTTCTGGGGGTGCGAGTTCTGGAGGTGCTGACACCGGGGTGCTGATTCTGTGGGTGGTGCGTCTGAGGGTGCTCGTCTTGGAGGTGCTATCTCGGGGAGTGCTGGTGTCCGTTGTGGTGACGCTGGAGGTCCTGTAGAGGACAGAGAGCAGCCGCAGCAGCAGCCGCAATAGCAGGCGCATCCGCCGATGTAGGAGCAGCCACGGTCTGCCCTTCGTCCCCTAGGTCTTGCTCCAGGTTCCGGGGTCCGCTCGCCCATTCCCCCTCCGGTGCGTGACCCTGTTTACGGCCCGTTGTTCCCTCCTCCAGACTCCTCTCCGACTCATTTTCCCCCGTGCTCCCCTCCGTCCCCTGACTTGTCCCACGTCCCCCCTCGTCCCCAGTCCTCAATTCTTCCCCACTGGGTCCGCCACCCCTCTGGTGCTCGTCCTATCTCTCCCCGTTGTAGTGTCCACCCTATGGTCCTCCGTTCTGATTCTTCTCCGGTCCCCGTAATTCTGTATCCTCCTCCGTCGTCGCTCTCGCAGTCCCCCCCTCCTCCCCCTGACACTGCTCGTACTGCTCGTCCTACCCTCTTGCGCTTGCTTGTGTCGCTTGTCACTGACCCTACTGCTCCTCCTGAGTCAATCTCTGCGCTTGTCGCTGGTGTTGCTAACTTTGCTGCTAGCCACCGCCTTGACTACGCTGCCGCTCTGGTCTTTGGTACTGCGCGTCCTCCGTCCGTCGGGAGTGCACCTGCACTTGGCATTGACGTGCTAGAGGACAGGCAGTACGAGTTGGCCTACCTTGCTGCCGCTGTTCCCCATCTCTGCTCCATGGTTGTATCCCCAGAGGGCGACCTAGATGCTCTCGAAATCCCTATTCAGCGCTCTTACGCTGAGGCGGTGTCGGGGCCGTGGGCAACCTAGTGGATACAGGCCATGGAGGTTGAGATGGCATCCATAGATCCACAAGCACTTACGTCGACGCAGTTCTCCCGCCTGAGGCGAACGCAGTCGATGACATGTGGATCTACACGGTGAAGCGAGCATGTGAGAGCAGGACAGGGTTCCTAGGAAAAAGGACTATTTCTTTATTTTCTAGGATACTATTGATTACCTAGAATACTCCATTTAATCACTTGGATGATTTTATCCAAAGTGGTTATTTGGATTATTCTTGGTTATCATAAGTGTATGTGTTATCTAGATTAACTGTTGCGTGCACCGAGTGTTCACCGTATTTCGACGCATCCTCTAGTACTTCTAGAATAGTTGCTTCTAGAGGGAAATGGTTCATTTTTGGAACATTCACGTTTTAGCTAGACTCGCGCCTCGCTCGGAGGACCTCGCGAGTGCTCGCCTATAAATTGTGTTGTTCCTCGGGATTCAATATTCATTCTCTAGTTACATTCTCTTTTGCATTACGCATAGCACACCTGGAGAGTCGCTGAAGATCAAGGCATGTTACTTGGCTAGAGGCTTCAGTCAGCGTGAGGGTGTGGACTTCTTCCAGACCTTCTCCCTGACCCCGAAGATGACTACACTTTGGGTCCTTCTTCACATCGCCGCGCAGAGTGACTACAAGCCTTACTCACTCGACTTCTCCACAGCGCTCCTGCAGGGTAGTCTGCACGAGCAGATCTACATAAGGCACCCTCTAGGATTCTCTGGATCCTTCCCACCTGGGACCTAGTGGAGTCTGCACCGTCCTGGTTACGACCTTCGTCGGGCACCCAGTGAGTAGCACGACACGCTTCACACCACTCTTGCTGAGCTGCGGTACTTTCCGTCCTCAGCTGACCCCTCTCTCTTTGTTCGCATGGGTCAAACACCATTCTACATTCTAGTGTACATAGACAATTTTATCTTTGCTTCTCCTGACAGAGTCGCACTGGCCTTAGTGAAGGCCGAATACTCAGGAGACACAGCTGTACAGACTTGGGGAAGCTGAGACACTATCTGGGCTCGGAGATCTCTCGTGATCGCGCCACTTGCACGATCACACTCCCTCAGCCCCATATGGTGCAGCAGATCCTCCAGAGGTTCAGTCTCCAGTTCTCCTCAGCACAGCCCACCCCTCTGCCTGTGGATCACAAGCTCTCTGCTCCTGTTCCGGCTGAGCCGGTCGAGGCTAGTGGTCTCCTCCCTTTCCATGTCCATAGCTTTCCAAAACGGCTGCAGGTAGTCCAAGGACCACCCCACCGCCTCCCGCAGCAGCTTCAGCCCTTCCTTGCATGCCCCAGCCTCACTCAACTCCCCCCCCTCCTCCCCCCCCACTCCTCCCCTCACCCCTTCTTCCCCTCCCACTCCTCCGCTCCCCCCTTCACCTCCCTCTTTGCTGCTCCCTCCCGCCAGCAGCAGCGGCGCCCAACCATTGTTTGAGTGCAGGTGCAGTAGCATCAACGCCGAAATGAGCCACCCGATTCCCTCCCTCCCCTGCCTCCATGGGTCTAGAAGCTTCCAAATCGCCCATCTCTCTCGTTACCATCCCGTTCCCCCCCGTGTGCGTTGTTCATCCCCTTTATAATCACAAACGGCTTCTGGACGATGGATAGCAGCGGCCCCAGCGCTGCTGCTGTCGCGGTGCCAGGCGCAACAACAGAAGAACCACCTAAAGAATCACCTGACAGGGAACCTGAGGTTCTAGGGTACAGTTCTTTGACTGCTAGAGCCATGGAGATGGGGGGAGCCTGACCGTCCGTGGAACCGATAATCGTGAGAGTGGGCCTTGGGAACTGCAGGAGAGAATTTTCCTAGAAGTTGTGCCATGCTCCGAGCTGGATGAGAATGAGGCAGGACTCACGCACCACTGGAGTCATCAGGAAGGCACGCATGCTGGTAGGGGGGATAAATAGAGAACTAGAGGGGGGAGCAGAAGAGGGGGGTGGGGGAAGGTGGAGGGAAGGGACGTTGCTTGAGCGTCCTGTGACGTTCAGAGCTGGACGAGAGCGAGGCAGGACTCACGCACCACTGGAGTCATCGGGAAAGCGCCCACACTGGTAAGGGGGGAGAAAGGGAAGTAGAGGGGGGAAAGGGAGTGGGGGGCGGGCGAGGGGAGAGTGGAGAGAAGGAGACGTTTCTTGAGTGATATGTGATACTCAGAGGTGGATGAGGGCAAGGCAGGACTCACGAACCACTGGAGTCATCGGGAAGGCGCCCACGCTGGTACGGGGAAGAAGGATGGAATAGTGGCCAAGGGAGAGGTGAGGAGAGGGAGGAGAGCCTTGCTTGCCCATTAATACAAGGACCGCTTGGAGAGAGGTGAGGAGAGGGAGGAGAAAGAGGAATGTAACGCTTGTTAGAAACCACACCAACAGGCCTCTTCACCGTTAACTCATTTCAGTAACCCACCTGTGTCCGAGCGCAAACACCCTGGGAGTTCCCCCACCACTGGTCACATCTGCGCCCATCTCATGTACTGTTTTCACCGCCGCCTCATACCCGTTCCGCACCCACGTCTTCCCTTTCACCGGGTCCGGAACTGTGATCTCCTTCAGCACCGCCACCCGCAGGCGCTTCCGCAGGGATGGGGGGATGGCTGACCTTATAGCGCTGATGAGCGGGAGGTAGGAGAGTGCGGGGATGAAGGCTCCACGTGCGAGGAGGAGGAGGAGGTAGGGCGGGGAGGGAGGAGAGGGGGAGGTGGAACCTGGGGTGGGTTGGTCCACGGGGGAAGGGGGGAGGATGTACGCCAGCTGGGTTGGTGGTAAGGGGAAGGGAAAGGAAGCGCGGGTGGAAAAGGGAGGATGGAATGAGGTGAATCTGCTTTCACGTTCATTTCAGAAATGCCGTGTCCGGGAACGGTCACAAAATAATCAATGTGTATACCTATTGAACACAAAAAACATACCCCTAAAAGGTCGCCTTTGTGCTACAACGTGTTGCCACTTTTTGAACACCACCATGGTAGACTTTCTGAACACGTTTTGAACATCGCGGGTGATCACCACGTGTGCACTTTTTGAACACAAACCGGCAATGACATTTGAATGCGATTCGGGAACAATCCGAACACCAGCATCGGCAGCAAAGTCGTCACACATGCCACGCGGGTCGGGATTTCCCGGCTTGAGCAATCGGGACACCATTCAAACACAAAGTGGACACCACACGTTATACGAATAGTATCCCAAATTATTCCAAAATGTGAGAGGGACATGTAGAGGCGAGTTGCTTCCATTATAGCTGGGTACACAAAGTAGCCGGGGTGTCAGAACCCCCAAACCTGAAGCATCCTAAAGCAACCCATACATGTGTCTTTGACAAGCTGAGAAAAGAGACAGCCCAGTTTTCACAGCCGCCACAGAGCGAGGCCCCTCATGCCTAAATGTTATGGCCTCCGGGCACTACACAAGCGAAACACCATGGGGGAAGGTGCCTGGGCACATACCAGACAGCCGCCGGTGGAGAAGGGGCAGAACGAGGGATGGGTCACGACGAGGATGTTGGCAAAACGAGCAAAAGGGGGGGGGGGGGGAGGACACCACATGTGCCACGGGCTGCAGGGGCAGCATCACTCGTCCTCTGTGTCGCTGGACACAGGAATGCAGCCCTCAAAGCCAGATGGGTGGATGAAGAGCTCATGCTTGCCCCAGCAGAATGCCCCCATCTTTGCATCCCACGGGTGCCTGCGAGTCTGCAGGCCCTCATCCACCACCTCCCACACGCAGCTGTGGTGTCCCTTCATGTAGTGTACGTTCTTGTCGAGGGAGTTGGGCAGATTCATGCAGGTGCCCTTGTTAAAGTCAACCTGCAATATGTGGGGATGAAGTTAAATTTACACACGCAAAAGAAAAACAGGCACACCGATTTCGTAAGGACCCAACATGTGGGGAGGCACACAATTTACAACATCCACCCCATGTACAAATCTACAGGCGCCAATCGGTCAAAAGGCAAGACAAAGGCGCTCACCACGTAGAGCAGCCACGCGACGTGATAGGGCATGAGAATCGGTGTCCCATGCCGCACCCACTTTTTGTATGCCTGACATGCGCCATCAAAGAAATCCTCACTGGTGAAAGGGTCTGCCCCCTCGTCCTCCTTGCTCCACGAGCTCACAAGCTGCCCCAGGCGCCGTCCTGGGGGTTTAGGGTGGCAACAAAGAGGCAGAGTGAGGGAGCAGAGGTACCGACCGGGAGTGGGCATAACATTACACAAGAATAGGAAGGAGATGCGCAGTGGGAGCCGCACTGGCCCTGATCGTAGCTAGATGGAGCACTCACTGGGGGCGTAGAGGTTCCACAGCTTCTGCTTGTCTGCCACCTGGATCTGCAGCTATGAAGCCTGTAGGCCTTTGTTGGGTAAGCCCCATGACTTCATCATGGCCTTCTTCATGGCCTTCTTCATGGCGAAGGCCGCCTGATTCTTCCAATGGGTCCACACTCGTCGCAGCTTACCCACCAGGTCCACGTCATCCATGGCCTCATAGAAGAGGGTCCTGCTCACATCATACTCTGTTGATATCAGCTCGAACAATGCCTCCAGGCGGGTTGCCGGGTTGTCATAGAAAGAGACGTGCTTGGCCTTGCGCCCACACATCTGCAGATCGCGTGTTCGCTGGATGTATCCCTGCAGGGATTAGAGTAGTGCAGGGACATCGGGCAGGACCATACTCACGTGGGACGCATACGTAGAACCCATGGACCACTAGGCTGAGCCCACGGATCTGCTAGCGACTAACGAATCCCACAGGGCACCTCGTGGCATGTAGCTCACCTTCAGGTGCTTGGTGGCAGGCATGCCACTCTTCTTGCCACGCGACCGATTACCCGCCCCCACAAGGGGGGGCTCTCTTCCTCCGTGGAACCATCCGCGGACTTCTTAGCTCGGCGTGGAGCTTGCTGCCGCCCACGCTCGCCTGCCGCAGAGGCCTTGCCGTCGTCCAGCAACCCTTCCATAAGAGCCTGCAGTATCCTCCCCATGTCGGAAATCTTCTCCCACATGGCCTGCAGGTGGGGAGTGTTATAATCACAATAGGCTCAGATGTGCCTAAAATGAGAGAAATTCAGGACAGTCAGAATTCCGTCAGACAGCTTCAAAACTTGATGGCGATCTGAGCTCTGCCTCAAACGGTAATCTACAAATTGGATCTGGAGCGCGTTGCTGTTGCCTATCAGCAGCAAGTTGAATCATAAAATTCCATGAAGATTTGACGACGCTATGGCGGTTTGACTGGTAGGGGGTACAGCAGCCACTATAGTCTTAGGAGTACAAACTTAGCAAGAAGAGTTCGAGAGGGAGATGGTTCCCAGCCTCTACATACCCCAAGAGCCAAGGTCCAGGTTGGTGGTACACCACCACAGAGTCCCCAACCATGAAGAGTCTCGAAACCAACCCTCCAAGGGGCTACACCAAGTGAAATGTAACACTACACGAAGTAACGTTACTATTTTCACTATTTAATATTTATCCGCATCCCTTGGGCTTGAAATCTTGAGCTCTTGTTCTTGGATCTGCAAGATAAATTCTCCTTGAGTTGATGGGGGCTTGCTGCACACACCTGCGACACGATGGACACTTCACACTTGACAAAATAGAAAAAACACATGCGACACACAAACGACGACTTGACAAGCGAGTTGTAAAACTCGCTAATGTCTTTGACCGACACAAGCCACACTATGATACACCATTCAAACATTCACACAAGCACTAGATAGCATTGACATAGACTCACAATTCATTCCATGCCATGCATGCACACACACAAACAAGGACGACAAGCCGAGTGCAAGCCATAGGATTGCACCAACAAACTCCCCCTCGGATTGTTGGCCTTAGAATCTGCTCCCCTTAGTTCAGAGCCATCCCAGCAAGCTTGCAACACTTCCAATGCTGCTGCTCAACCAGCCTCTTGGTCATCATATCAGCAGGCTGCGCCGTCGTCTTCACGTAGTGCAACTCCACTTCACCCGCGGTTGCCATGCTCCTCACCCAATGCCACTTCACCTTCATGTGCTTGGTAAGGCCATGAAGAACGGGGTTCTTAGCCAATGCAATAGCACCCTGGCTATCACAGTAAAGTGGGGTAGGTCCTTGCTGCTCCTCCCCCAATTCAGCTAGAAAACGCCGCTGCCACACAACCTCTCTTATGGCACGGAAGAGTGCCATGTACTCGGACTCCACCGAGCTCAATGCTTGGTCCACTTGTTTCTTGCTTTCCCGAGCTGTTGGCCCTCCACCAACATAGCAGATGAAGCCTCCCACACTTGTCATGTCCTCTGGTTCTGATGCCCAAGATGCATCAGAGAAGGCGGTGAGAAAGAGCCTTCCGGGTTCGACTCCATCCGCTCCCTTTTGACACCTTTGTGCCGCCGCGGAGTATTGCAGTTCAATAGTTGCTGTTTGGCCAAGGTACTTGGCCACCCTCTCTCCAGCTGCTACCTGCTCCTCATTAGGGCATTCGACAATCCTAGCCAGCTGCCCGGTAGCAAAGGCTGCATCCGGCCTTGTGTGAACGGCCGCATACATGAGGCTGCCCACCAAGGAGTGAAAACGGCGCCTCTCCTCTTCACCAACACTTTCCTCCGCTGGTCCTTTCACACACTTGAACCCTGAGGGAAGAGGAGTAGCCACATGACCTTCACTCTTCCCAAAGTTGGCAGCCAAGGCCTCCAAGTACTTCTTTTGATGCACTCGCATCCACCGCTTCTCCACATCTCGCTCAATGTGAAGCCCAAGGTAGTAGTTGACGTCACCAAGGGTCTTGCACTTGAACTTGTCTTGAAGCTTCAGCATCACCTCCTTCACAAGGTCAGAGGAGGGTGAGAATATGAGGATGTCATCCACATAAACCACCATGAAGCTCCTCTGCTCCCCCTCGCCAAGCATGAACAACGATTGATCGGCCGTTGAGGGAGTGAAGCCGATCGCCTCCAAGACTTCCCGCAGCTTGATGTACCATTGCCTAGGGGCTTGCTTGAGGCCATAGAGTGCTTTCTTCAGCTTCCACACTCTGCCACTCCCATCATTGTACCCCTCTGGCTGCTCCATGAAGGTCTCTTCCTCCAAAACGCCGTTGAGGAAGGCCGTTACTATATCCATTTGCTTCACCACCCATCCTTTGATGGCCGCCGCGGCGAAGAGGGTTCGAAGGGTTGTACCCTTCACCACAGGGGCATACACTTCATTGTAGTCCTTCTTCTCTTGCTGCTGATACCCCTTGGCTACAAGTCTGCTCTTGTAGCGCTCGATGTTGCCGTCGGCGTCGGTCTTGCGCTTGAAGAGCCACTTGGAAGAGATCGCCTTCCGCCCCGGAGGTAGGTTCACCAAGTCAAACGTGTCGTTCTCGATGATGCTCCCCATTTCTTCATCTGAGGCCTTCTTCCACTCCTTCCCATTAGGGCCCTCCCAAGCCTCCTTGGGATTTGTAGGCTCCCCCGGTATCTCCACCGGAGAGAAGAAGGCAAAAGCACACTCCTCGCTTTCATCTTCCGCATCATCACCTAGCATGAGAGCCGAACCGGTCAAGGTTGAGTTGGCTAGTCCTCCAAGCCGTTCATAGCTCAACCTATTGGGGGGCTGAGTCCTCCTTCTCCCCCTTCCTTCCTCCTCTGCTGCAGGGACTTGAATGCTCTCATGGCTTTGCGGTAAGTCCGGTCGGTTCCCGCGAGCACTTGTAGCACGAGGCGGAAGTGACAGTGCACGCTCATCACCTTGCTGCACCTCCTCCTCCTCTTCTCCCCCATTCATTTGAGGAGATTGCCTTGTTATAGTGCTGCTGCTACTCAGCTCCAAGGGCAGCTCCACATGCTCCAAGCCGTTACTCTTCACCTCTCCAAGCCGCACACCAATCTTCGCTTGGTTCTCCGCCTTCCACTCCTTGTACGGTAAGTTCTCCATGAACTTGCAATCTCTGCTCACCAAGAACTTCTTGGTAAATGGGTCCCATAGAAGCCATCCCTTGCTGTTTTGGGCCATGCCCAGGTGCACGGCCCATGTTGCCTTGGCATCAAGCTTGTTGTGCTGAAGTTTCTTAGGCACAAGTGCCATGCACATGCACCCGAACACCCGAAGCATATCCACCTTCGGCTTCCTTCCAATCCACTCCACATAGGGCACCCATTTGTCTTCTCCCACATGATTCAAGGCTCTGTTCTTGGCCACACAAGCATGCCGCACCGCATCCGGCCAAAAGTAATTGGGTAGACCGGCTTCAATGAGAAGTCCCCGAGCCGTCTCCGTGAGTGTCCGATTCGCACGCTCGGCGATGCCGTTCATTGCAGGAGAGTAGGGCATGGTAAGAGAGTGCCTTATGCCCTGCTTCTTCAGCCAAGTTGAGAAATCCTTGCTCAGGAACTCTCCCCCACGGTCAGTGCGAATCGCCTTCACAAGTCGGTCTTGTTGCCGCTCCACCATCGGCAACCAATCGGTCTTCACCGTTTCAGCTACGTCACTCTTCTTCGGCAGCACATACACCCAGGTCATGCGAGTGTAGACGTCCACAATGGTGAGGAAGTACTCAGCTCCAGCAGCTCCAACCTTCAAGGGGCCCACCACATCCATCACCACCTCATCAAGTGGTGCCTTTGCCGTTGTCTCCGAGCTATGGAACGGGTAGCGGGTGAACTTGGCTTGCATGCATGTTGGACAACCAAGCACCTCATTGGGCTCCCCCTTGACACGTATGCCATTGACCATCTCTTGCTTAACAATCTGCTGCAAAATGGGCAATGCCACATGCCCCATTCGCCGATGCAAGGTCAGCCAATCACACTCTCCCGTAGCGGAAGTCGGGTTGGAGAAAGCGGCACTCGCAATTGTGCCCCTTAAGCTCTCTCCTTTCTCCTTCGCCGCTGCTGCTTTGTTGATCTTAGCCTTCTCCTCCTCATTTCCACCACCTTTGGCTGCTGCACCATTCTCCTTGGGTTCACACGCCTTGCTAGTCTCTCCAAGGTTGCACTCCTTCGAGTCACTCTTGGTGTCACTTTGCTTTCCGTGATCACCGCCACCAACCGCTTCACGCTTGGTGCTGACGCTTGCTGCCACTTGCCTCTCTTTAGGCATGGGGACCACTGGGATTTGCCACATCTCATTGTAGATGTCCCTGTCCTCATGAAGGTCCCAAAGCTTCCGCTCACCAAGCCTTGCAGTATAGGTTTTGGATCCCTTGGAAGATGTGTCCATGCCGGCCTTTTGCAAACGCCGAACGGAAATCAGGTTGGCTGCTAGGTTGGGCACCAAAAGCACGTTCTTGAGGCCCACCATCTTCCCATCAGCACCCTTGAACATGGCCTTGCCCATGCCCTTCACCTCTGCTCGCTGCCCCAAAGCCGATGTAACATGCTTTACCGGCGACGGTTCGAGTTCGGTGAGCAAGTCCGCACGAGGTGTCATGCTATAGGTGGCGCCGCTGTCGATCACCCAAAAGTCCAGAGAGTGAAGAGTGACCTTTCCCACAGTAGCTGGCTCCTCAATGCCTTCCACAGCTCCCGCTGCTGCTGCCGCTTGCGTGGAGACAAAGAAGAATTGGCCCGGGTATCGATCTTCACTCGGGCCCGTCTCGTAGTCTCCACCTTTCATGCTTGCCGCTTCGCTTCCACGACCACCACGGCCTCCACGACCTCTGCCTCTTCCTCCCCTTGCTCCTCTGCCCTCTTGGCCTTGAGAAGGGGTCCATCCATCAGGCAATCTGAAGCAATCTCTCCACATGTGGCCGGTCTTGTGGCAAAAGTGGCATTCGCCATCAAATCGACCGCGCCCACGCCCGTAGCCATTGTTGTTGTTGTTGCTGCCATATCCTCCATTACCACGGCCTCCATTGAAGTTACTGCTGCCAAATCTTCCTCCTCGCCCTCTGCCCCTTCCACGGCCGTGCCCACGGCCCATGCTTGCAACTCCGGCACCATCGGGACCCGCCAATTCACGACGGCGGAAATCTTCTTGTAAGATTTCCCGCTTCACATCTTCGAGTGAGAGACGGGGCAGATCTCGATTAAGATTGATGATGAGTGAGGACCATGAGTCCGGAAGTAAGGCCAGCAGCTTGGTCTTCTTTTGAAGGTCACTGTAGTTCAGGTCAGCTCCTTCGAGCCGTGTCAACAAGTCGAAGAATTTCTGCACTCCTTCCTCCACCGGTTCGCCTTCGTCAATTCGAAGTGCCGCCATTTGCTGCTCCAAAACCACAGCCACCGCCGCTGTTGCAGGAGCGTGTACACCCTTGAGAGCAGCCCATGCCTTTGGTCCCTTTGCTGGTTCACGCTGAAATGGCTTGATGTGACGGATTTGGCTGCTCCCCAACGCTTGCCCAAGTAGAAGGTAGCCTTGTGCGCTCTTCCGCACCCACGGGCATATCTCCGGGTCGTCCTCGGGGCGCTTCTCCGTTCCTTCCATCACCTCCAGAAGATCATAGTGGTCAAAGATATTCTCAATCTTGAAGGACCACTCAGCAAATTTGTCACCGTTGAACTTGTCAAGGCCAAATACTCTAGGCTCATCCCTAGAGGGTCCAAGGCTAGGTTGCACGGGAGCAACGGGTGGATCTTGGTGTTGACCTTGTGCTTGGGCGTCTTCTCTGCCTCCAGCACCTCTGCCACCCCCTTCCTCAGGTCTAGGCATGGTCAAGACAGCTCCAAGGGGCTCTGATACCACTTGTTATAATCACAATAGGCTCAGATGTGCCTAAAATGAGAGAAATTCAGGACAGTCAGAATTCCGTCAGACAGCTTCAAAACTTGATCCTGATCTAATCTGTGCCTCAAACGGTGATCTTTAAATTGGATCTGGAGCGTGTTGCTGTTGCCTATCAGCAGCAAGTTGAATCATAAAATTCCATGAAGATTTGACGACGCTATGGCGGTTTGACTGGTAGGGGGTACAGCAGCCACTATAGTCTTAGGAGTTCAAACTTAGCAAGAAGAGTTCGAGAGGGAGATGGTTACCAGCCTCTACATACCCCAAGAGCCAAGGTCCAGGTTGGTGGTACACCACCACAGAGTCCCCAACCATGAAGAGTCTCGAAACCAACCCTCCAAGGGGCTACACCAAGTGAAATGTAACACTACACGAAGTAACGTTACTATTTTCACTATTTAATATTTATCCGCATCCCTTGGGCTTGAAATCTTGAGCTCTTGTTCTTGGATCTGCAAGATAAATTCTCCTTGAGTTGATGGGGGCTTGCTGCACACACCTGCGACACGATGGACACTTCACACTTGACAAAATAGAAAAAACACATGCGACACACAAACGACGACTTGACAAGCGAGTTGTAAAACTCGCTAATGTCTTTGACCGACACAAGCCACACTGTGATACACCATTCAAACATTCACACAAGCACTAGATAGCACTGACATAGACTCACAATTCATTCCATGCCATGCATGCACACACACAAACAAGGACGACAAGCCGAGTGCAAGCCATAGGATTCCACCAACAGGGAGGGGGAGCCAAAGTGCTGGGGTGGGGTGGGGGGGAGGGGGGAGACTGTGTTGCACGCACAGGTGTCTGTCCATGGCACAGATCCTCCAATTTTGCCTCCTGCTGCCGTATCTTCTCGAACAGCAACTCCAGGGTCAACCCTTTGCCAGGGGTGCCTGGAGTGGCGATGCTCGCATGTCCAGTGCCCACTTCGAAGCCGTTGTCCCCCCTGATAGATCCCAGGTTGCCGTCTGGAACCGGGCTTGCATGTTGACAATGCTCGGCGCGCGGTTGCAACTTCACACGCCAGACGACCCCTTCCACGCCTCCTGCGCACATGGCATTGGAACAAGGAGGTCCTCTTGGACCTTCTCCTTCCCCTTGGCGGACACTGGCAGGGGCATCTGGTCTGGCTGCGTGGATTGCTGGCGGGATTGGGAGCGTTGTCTGCATTGCATGTCACCCGTGGCGTCCTCGGGATGCTGGGCCCATATGTCCATCCGTGCCCCCGCGCCGACTCGGCGTAGCTCCTGCGGCATCGTCTCGCAATGCTCTTCGTACTTCCAATCATCGTACAGGTTGCGGGAGCGGCGGTTGTCGTAGGCAAGGAGATGCTTCACCGTGCCCGATTCCTCGCCCAAAAGAGCAGCCCCTGGGAGTTGCTGATTTCTCGTGCATGGAGAGCTTCGAGCTGCCAGCAACGACCTTTGGCGCAACGCCTCCGAACTCCACCTTGTCCTGGGACTTGCGCTCATCATACAGGGCTGTCGTGGGCACGCGGACAGCGGTGTCCTCCTGCTCGTCGTCATGGTCGTCGTTTTCACCCCTTGTCTTGCTCGTTGTCATCCCCACCGACTTCTTCAACGTCGCCATCCACCTTTGCCACGAGCACTGCGAGTTAAGCATGGGGGCGGCTCATAGGGCTAGAATTTGCCACTAGTGCTGGTTGCAGTGGTGCCAAGCGTGGAACCACTTGAACCAGTTAGCCTCATAGGGCTAGAATTCGGGTTTTCGAAAAGCGTACCCGTCAAATCCATGTACTTCACAAACCTTACACGTCACTTTATGGGTAATGTCAAAAGAAACCCGTAAAAATCTGGGTTTATAAAATTTGAACGCTTCAGATTCCGAGTTCAGAGAAAAACTCACCCGTTATTTTGCCAAAATCCGGGTAATTACCCGTAAAAAAGAAGCCCTGCTGATGACTCTCGTGTGATTGGACCATATTATCGGCTGTTGCCTAGCGTAGGTGTGTCCACTGTGTATAGTCTAGGCTCCCCTGCTGCATCAGGCGTAGGACCCTTTGCCTTGTTTAGCCTAGGCTCTATGCCCGCCTCTCCGCCGGCTGACACTATTGCGTCGCTCTCCTTTACGCTCGACTCTGGAGCGTCCGCATTTTTCTTTCGCGACCATACTATGCTCACGCCACTTGCTGCCCCCGCCACTGTAGCGCTTGCTGACCCCTCCTCAGGTCCTGTAGCAGCCCGTAGCTCCACTACCCTCTCCTGTCCGGCGGTCCCCTCGGGCGCTCTTACAGGCCTGCACATCCCCTCGTTCTCTAGGAACCTTGTTGGTGTTGGCTGTCTTCAGGACCTAGGCATCACCACTACGTTCCCCAGACACGAGCGGTACGTGGTTTGTACCGAGGCCGCCACTGGTGCCCCTCTGACCACTTTCCCTCGGGACCCTGTGTCCGGCCTGTTTACGCTTGACACTGCGTCCCCCCAGGTGCCTGCGGCGACCCTGGTCGCTGCGGCTTGCTCGTGTTGGTCGCTCACTCACTTATCACTGCTATAGCACCACCGCCTGGGTCACCCCGCACTCCCGCGTCTGCGTCACATGTCCCATTACGGTCTTGTCTTCGTTCTCCTTGTGTCGCTCCCTCCCCTCCCTCCCTCACCTGTGCCATTGAGAACGCCATGTGTGGAGGGCCGGCTGTGCCGTGCTCCTCACTCCTCCTCGTTTCCCCCTACCACTGCGCCACTCCAGACCCTGCACTTGGACATCTGGGGCCTAGCCACCGTCCCTGGGCAGCGTCGCGAGCGCTACTT